ATATGATAAATATATATTATTTAAATCCCCAATGATGGACGTGTTGAAAACTAATTTTAACTAGAGTGGACGCTACCTTAAAAAATGTTATATGAACTTTAGATTGAACCCAATCCTTTGTCACTAAATGGGCAAAGTTGACAAAATTCAGATAATAAAAAAATTGATTATTTAAAACCTTGATGATGGTCATGTTGAAAATAAATTTCAAAATCATCTAATTCTAAATATCTATCAAATTCTAAATACTTAATGGAAATTAATCATCTAATTTAAATAAAAACCAATCCACCCTCCACAAAGGTTTGGTGAGGGCACATTCAAAATAACTTCAACCCACATAAAGCGACTGTTCGATTGAGAGTATTACTAACATTCATTGTCAGATAATTTCTAAAGATGTAATATATATCCTCTAATCGACAGCTTATAGCCCAATAGCTCCACATAACTCATAGTTTGACCCAACAACTCTACGTGGTAAACGATTATGATTGGTCCTTTAATCAGTGGTTTGGCCTAACGGCTCCATAAAGGAACTGTGGGGCTCCACGTGGTAAAGATTTTGACCGAGGCCCACCAACTTAGTGGCTTTGCCCAACGACTCCACTATATTGTTGTCACGACTAAAGCTTGCATATTCTCTAATGGTTTATGTCCTTAAGTAATGAATCATAGGGCATAATCGATAAGGCACACAACCTTTTGTTCGCTCAGATTGATTTGAATTCATCCCTTAGACAAATATTCAATCTAGGTCTACAAGTTGCCGTCGTACGAAGCAGGTTATATTTGCCAACGAGTATCCTTTTGTCAGGTTTGGTCGACTATCTCATCTAACTATGTAGACTAGGGACTATGATGACCCAGGACGACGAAATAGTAGGATTTTGATCAGATTCATTATTCTCCCACCATCCACTTTTAAGTGAAAGGGCACTAAATTTATATTTTTTTATTTTAATTATTTAAATGTATTGCTATTATATGCTAGGCACTTAGTGCCTATCGACCCATCTCATCGAACTATGTAAACTAGAGACTATGATGACCCAGGACGATGGAATAATAGGATTTTGGTCGGGTTCATTATTCTCCCACCATCCACTTTTAAGTGAAAGGACAATAAATTTATATTTTTTAGTTTTAATTATTTAAATGTATTGCTATTATATGCTAGGTACTTAGTGCCTATCTAATGACTAGTCGTAATTGAAATTGCTTTTTTTGTTATCGGGAGGAATAATTAAATATAAGGGTATATGCCTATAGGAAATTAGAACTTAGATTATAAAGTGGGTGAAATATCTGGGTAGTGTCTTATCTTTATCTAATCAGTTTTCCAAAAATTTTTATCAAAACTTAATCCGTTAAAACTATCCTCGAATATACACGAAGAGGTTGGGGCCGTAAAAACTCAAATTTTTGGAGCCCACACTTGACACCTGCCTAGAAGTTCTCCAGCTTAATTTGCTGACAATTGCAATGCCTTCGGCCCTCATCGAGCCCACGAGGTTCTTTGTGGCTATCATTTGGGCCCCCATTTAAGGCAATTGCATCCCGCAACTTCTTCATCTCGGCGACATCCCTACGAGTCGCCTCTCCTTTTCGAGCATTGGGCTCGCCAACACCCTGGAAATTCATCATTTTCTTCAGAGTCGCAAGCCTTCCAATGATCTCCAGTGAGACCGACCCTGGGGGAGGAAAGAAGTTAGAATACTAGCCAAAGGAGAATAAGGTTGCGGGCATCTCTTGGATCCCCATGAACTTGCCCTCCACCTACTCTACAGTCGGCGCCTCAACTCAAACCCCCATCATTGTCGCCGTTGCTTCGCTGGCAGCACCCTGTCTTTTGACGAACTCTTCTTCCTTGCCAACCAAGACATGTTTAGCTAGAGGCACCACTTCTTGGGACCCCCTTGCAATCGGCACCCCTTCAACAACACAAGTAGTTCATTTGAATTCAAGTTTAGGAGTCGTAGTAGAACATATAAGAGTTGATCTCACAGTGCATTTCCCTTGAGATACTTGAAGGTTGCCCACTACTCTAGAGCCCTCATCTCTTGTTCACTTGGTAGACTTGCAAAAGAACATATAAGAGTTAATCTCCCAACACCATTCGCCAACCTAATTAGACAACTGGTAGCAATGGGTTCATCTCCTCTTGAGCTCACCCACAGACTCAACCCATGTCACTCGCTTCTCTCAAACTCACCTGAAGACAAGCAACTGGCCCAGTTGTCAACTTCACCCTTTTACAACCAATCAGGTGATGACATGTGTCCTAGATTAGCATGCAGCGTTGTACGGGTATTCCATATAGCTTGTATTTTTATTTTTCTGTGTATATCGTTTTTGTAGTTCTTAAATCCTATAAAAAAGTGGTGATGAGGAATAATATGTGATCATTAAACCCTTAGACCTTTAGATCTTTTTCTAGATCTCTTGTGCTCTATTTGTTTTATTTTCTAATTGAGATATTGGAGATTTTGCTAGTCTACTCTTTTTCTCTCTATTCTCTCTATTCTCCATTGTTACGAATAGTTTCTCTGCTCATCAAGCATATTTGTTAGTAAAGTAGGGCTTTTTCCACTGAAGAAATTTGGATTCAAAACTCGTTGCATATTTTTTATTGAAATCTTTTGTATTTGATTAGATCATAACAACTTCTAAAAGGTTAATGCATTTTGAATCTATTTTTTTTGTTTATAAATAAGATTTTATATTCATTCTCCGATGCGGGAAATAAAAAGTTTGACTTTTGCTTCCAAAAAAATTGAGGTCAGCTCAGGAAAGGCCACTTTGCGTTGGATGCTTTTGAACTAGAAACTACATTGAATATTAAGGATCTAAAACTCAAAAAAGTCTCTCGACTATTAATGAATGTCCAATATAGTCCCAAAGTTTTTCATTGCCCTATTTTAGTCTCTTGACTATTATAAATTGAGCTAACTTAGCCCAAGAGCCTAAAATAAAAGTTAAAGTTAACTCTAAAGTTAAATATGAAAGATAATTTAGGCATTACAAGTGAATATGATATTACATTGCTCTATTTTATCATTTATTAAATTATAGTATATAGTTAATCTATTACATAATAAGAGTGAAAAGAAATGAAAAAAATTTAGTTTTTTTAAAGCAAAATTTAACATTGCTCTTCTTTATCATATTTTAATATAAAATTAAATTTATTTTTAATAATTTTTAATCTACTACATAATCTATAAAATTATTAAAATATGGTAAAAAGAGCAATGCATGATTATTCTTTAAAAAAATAATTTTTTCACTATTTATTCATCCTTATTATATACTAGATTAATTATAAAGTATAATTTATTAAATGATAAAGTAGAGCAACGTATTCACTTGCATTACCTAAAATACTTTTCATATTTAACTTGGAGTTAACTCTTATTTTAGGTTCTGAGACTAAATTGACTCAATTTCTAATAGTCAAGAAACTAAAATGGGGCAATTAGAAGCTCTGAGACTAAATTAGATATTTATCAATAGTCGGGGGACTATTTTGAGCTTTTATTGGAATATTAAGTAATGAAATAAAATTTCAGTTTTCATCAACTCATCTGTGTGATATTGTATGTGAAATATTTGACTGCTTTGCAAATCTTGATGATAATTAATTATGGGGGCAAGTCTCCTTGTACTGACGTGACACCTAAATCTTCCATTGAGTGATTTCTGTTCTGATTCCTGTTATTAATTTGTTTTAGTTTGGCATGCGTATGTGGTTGAAGTTTTGCCAAGTGTGATACATACCATATTCTTTTTTTTATTGTGAATTGGTTATTATTATTGAAAATTTAAAATTATATAGTTTTTCTTGTGAGATTTCAGAATTTGGTGACTATGGAAATGAAAGAAGCTTGTTTAATATTTTTGCATTAAATGTAACTAACCTTTGCTAGAATTGAGAATATGTAACCTCCGAATTATGACTTTTGTGTGTTTTCATTATGCATCTCATCCTAATTTGTATTAGTAAATTTTAGACCCATAAGATCTGACTCCACCACCCTCGCTTATTTTTATTACAACTGGCTTTAATATGACATAACCTAACATCTACTCTTAATCATCTCATCTGGGCCTGGAATCACCAACAAGTAATAAAAAAATAAGATGCCATAAAAATTTTTTAAAAAATTGAAAATAAGAAATTAATAGAAAATATCTGAAGGAATTGCAACAAAAATGTTTTGTCACACCCATCAATCAATAGAAGTCTCAAGCAACTCAAGTGCTTAAGTTGGCTTTGATTTCCTTCCAACTCTAATTTTTTTGGGTGACCTTTAAACAGTAAGTTAAAATAGAAAAAGAATATGATCCCCACTTTTGAAACTGCCTCGCTTTGTATGGGATCATGCTTAGCTTTGTCCTTCCACCATTTATTGTAGTTTATGCCCTTTAAATACAAACAAGTTGATTTGCAGGGAAGAAACATGTATCTTTGGCAAAGTAAAATGAGCTGGATTTTGATTTAAGGAGTTAACATAATGCTGTATATGTCAACAGACTATCCACAATCACTAAGAAAAATGTATAATAAAAAATAATCATTTTGCTAGTAATTAGCTTCGTACTAGTTATAAAACTCATCTTCCTTTGAAATGAAGCATGGTTGTTGGATGCCCTCTATTAAAAGAAAATGATAATCTGGTACACATCATGAAATGGTAGAAATTACATGGCAATTAATTTTGTGAGGAATATGTTCTTCTATCTGCACAGAAACTCGTCACAACTGGTGGTATATATCAGCATCTCGTTACAAAATATGTTAAAAAGAATATTTTCATCTGAAATATGTTAACAGTTGTTTCTATGAGTGTTTACATACTTTTTTGGTTTAATAGTTATGTACATTTTTTCAATATGCTGTTTTGATGTCTTGTTTGATGTGTTGAGTTCTGTTTCTTACCTTGAAGGTGTTTTTTTGAAGTTAAATACTGTGCTAACCTGCTAAGGTGCGCATACAGGTGTATTGGTGGCATGACAAATATAGGCCAAGGAAGCCAAAATACTTCAATCGGGTTCACACAGGATACGAATGGAACAAATATAATCAAACACATTACGATCATGACAACCCTCCCCCAAAAATAGTGCAGGGTTATAAGTTTAATATATTTTATCCTGATCTTGTTGACAAATCAAAAGCTCCTATCTATACGATAGAGAAGGATGGCATCAGTAATGAAACATGCATCATAAGATTTCATGCAGGACCACCTTATGAAGACATTGTAAGTATTTCTTTGATTTTTTTTTTGTCGTATTTTAGATGAATGCATTTTGCTCATAGTTTGATTATGAATATTCTTATAAGCAGGCCTTCCGAATAGTTAACAAGGAATGGGAGTATTCTCATAAGAAGGGCTTTAAGTGCACATTCGAGCGAGGAATTCTGCACGTTTACTTCAATTTCAAACGATACCGTTATCGTAGGTAGCAATTCCACGTTTGCAGTCAATCAATATTTCAGAGAGAGCAATTCCTGTGATCGATCAGCAGTTAAAGACCAGCGCTCCGCTATTTTTTTAAGCCGAATTTTGTTCATATTTAGAATGACATCTGTACATATGAAGCCTATGCGAGTTGTTACTAATTAGTGAATTTTAGTCAGAATTACTCGAGCCATTGAAACTGTACTATAATGTACCGTGTTATGGTCGCCATCATGTGGTTTGAAGGGAAATTGTAATTTATCATGTTTGTAAATCAGATTTCATGATTGGATGAGTGGCGTTTGTTACGTTTAGCCTACTTAATTGTTTGATTGGGATGTAGCAATGTTCGAACAATTGTAATTTCTGATTTTCTTTATAGATGTAACTCTTGCATTTATGCATTCTTTGATTAACTGATGCATCATATAGAGATGTCTATAGAGATGTGTTTATCAATGCGTAAGTACTAATAAAAGAAGTCTTTTTCTTCAAATTTTGGTTGTTTATGAAACTGGGGGAATAAATCAGCATAGTTTTAAAAGCATGTGTGAATATATTTATCTCCCTAAAAAAAGAAAAGAATCGATTAATGAGCAGCATGTGTAGAAAAGCCTATATTGAATTTTTGTTAGTAACATCAAAAGTTTTTTGTTTTATATTAATCAATTAATTGGATCCTCAAGTTATGTTTAGCCTATGTAATATGTATGTAATTTTCTCGCTTTCTTGGATTTCATATCCATTTAAATAATATTATATTGCTTATAAAATTTGTTGACATGTTTCTTTAAAAAATAATCATGAGTTATACTGCACTTTTTATTTTAATCTTACATTCTCTCTCTCTCTCTCTTCACTTTATTGATTGATATTATCTCATCTCGCTCCTTGCTTTCTCACACCTGTATATCCATTAACCTCATTGCTTCATATGCTCTTCAGGTGTGTGCTCTGAAAATTCACATCCTGGCCTCGCCTGCTTTTGGCGCACATATATAAATACACACACACACATAATCTTTCTCATTTCTATTGCTTTGTGAAAGCCCCAAAAGTGTAGAGTGCTCGGTCTTTTGAAGGTGCAAAGCGAAGCTGTTGACTTCTCTTAATTTATAGATTTAGGAGACAAATTTTAGTCCTCTACGAAGGAAATTACACTTCTACTCTCTTTTTTTTGTTAGCTGATGTATGCTTGTAAAAGGATGAAAATTGCAAACTTGTATATAGATCTTGAATTAATAAAATAAGATAATTTTGTAAATTCAATTGTTGATGAGCTCTCCTTTTCTTTCTATTCTTCTAAATTCTGTAGTTGTTGTGCTCATGGTATTAGACCCTTGTTAAATTTTGTAGTTGTACTCTTTCCATAGTTTTTGTTTGAGCTTTGAGGATTTGGTTTCCTTTACCTTATGCTTTGGGTAAGGGACATTGGTGTAGAATTACTTGATTTTTCTATATTGACTTGTCATGAGGTTTTCATATCTTCAGCCCTATGTTTCTTTCTTTATCGAGCTTGATGAAGGAGTATAAGCTGGTGACCTAAACCCTTTAGGTTTATATTAGGTTGGCGGTAAGGAGTCATCAGTGCAAAGATTTGTGTGTAACAGACTTGTTGATGAAAAAATTCTCTTAGTTTAGCTTTAAACTTTATATAAACTTCAGGATAATTTTTTTGGTATTTGGCTTTGTGCTTTAACAAACTTATTGAAGAAGAATTCATTTGATCCTCACTTTATGCTTTATAGATTTATTGAAAGATTTAAAACTTTGGAGTTTAATTGGTTCTACCAAATGTAGGTAATACTTTAACCCTTAACTAATCAAGAAGAGTTTAATCTAGGTTACTTGAACTTATCAGATTGGGAGAGTTAGGATTTAACAGCTCTTGTTATTCGAATGCTAAAATGGGTGTTCCTCTACTATGACATTTTTTATGGCTTATTGAGTAGGAGCTGCCAAAGACTCGGCCATATATTGTCTTATTGAGCCTGACCTCATATGCTCGTTCATGCTTTTAACTTGAGCTGTGGAGAAATGCACTCCACAAGTTAAATTTATTAAAGTTTGTGGATTGTAAGTCATCCTTTGTGGTTTGAGTTCTCATAGCTTACACACATTTGGAAGCTATTGATTGAAACTCATCCTTCCCATTATAACTTCAACTCTCTAATCACTTAAGAGAATTTAATTAAATACGGCTACTTGAACTCACTGAGTCAGATAAGCCTTTATGCTTTTTATAATCTATATTATTAGGTTGATAAAATGGGGGTTCCTCCAGACATAACTGCTAGCGATTCAGCCCTATTTAGGCTTGTTGAATCTAGACTCTTACACCCATTTGAACCTTAAGCTTTAGACTATTGAAGGACTTTAGGTTGCTCCGACTCAATTTGTTAGAGTTTGTAGTCATGAAAATCTTCTTTTCATACCATTGAAATCTTATTATACTGGAGAAGGTAGTGTCCCAAACTTTCAAAAGATCACATACATATGCATTGATAGATAAAATTATTATATCATTCTACTTGATGGGATATTCGTAGTTGATAATTTTAAATATTTATAAGGGGATCTCAGCATGCAGCGCAATATTGACCCAAATAAATATTTAAAAATATCACTTGTCTTGTAGGGAGATTTTAAATATGATAAATTTAGTATTTTGAGATTTTAAATATTTATTTAGGAATCTTAGAGTATAGCATAATGTCGACCCAAATAAATATTTAAAATATCCTCTATCCTATAGGGAGATTACAGATAGATTTTGTATTTTGAGATTTTAAATTTTTATTTAAGTATTCGGCAAGTGATCCAATGTCAACCCAAATAAATATTTAAAATACTCCTAGTCTTACTAGGAATTTTATTTGAATTTTTGAAATACATTCTTATAACACAATAGAATTTTAAAATATAAAGTGTTTATATGTCCATGAATACATATAAAGTGCATGAAACTTTAAATGTTACTCATCTTTATGTATACTATTTCATCAGGTATCAATCATAGATTGGTGGCATGGGCCTTTGATCTGGTATGTTGATGGGTTGATTGGCTCCTCCCTTGTACACCTTCTCGATGATGAAGGGGCATTCCTAATTGGATATGAATTTGTCACTAATTTTTTGGTGTAGGATGATTCACCTTCTCAACACCAAAACTAATTCCCCTTCTTGAAATGCTCGATGATGCACCATCTAATCAAAAGATTTTGTCATTCTTGCTTGGAAGATCTCCATATTTTATTGATCATGCAATCTGATTTCATTGAGTCCATGGAGCTCCTCCATTTTCAGGTGAGCATTTTATTCTTAGGTAAGACCGTGCTGAATATCTACCACTAAGTGATAGTGGCTCAATCTCTAGTAGTAGCACTACTTAAATCCCGAACACTAGCATATAAGGAGTGGCTTTGGTCGGCATCTTATAAGTTATATAGTATGCCTATATTGCCTCTTCCATCTTAGTATGCCATTCTCTTTTATTTTTGGTGATGAACTTCTTCAATAATTTCATCAATGTCTTGTTGAAGGCCTCTACCAAGCCATTCGCCTTTAGGTTATATATTAATGATTATCACTAATCAATTTTGTGCTAATCAACAAACTTATAAATTTTGGTGCTATTTAATGTTATACCATTTTCTGATATTATATGATGAGGCACACTAAATATATAGACAATATTGTGGGTCAATAAGTTAGTTACGTGCTCGAACATGACTTCTTTGAATGGAGTTGCTTCTACCCAGTTTAAAAAGTAGTCCATTGTCACTAGAATAAAGCGGTGTCCTACTGATGACGGTGGATCTATTAGCTCGAGTATATCTGTGCCACTGCATTCAAATGACCAGAGTGTTACTGTTGGGTGCAATGGATTTAGTAGAAGTTGTATAACATCACCACAAATCTGATACTCGTAGCACCTCTTAGCATTATCAATATATTCCTTCACCATTATTGGCCAATAATAACCCATCCTCTAGATTTTAATGGTCATTTTGGGACATATTTGATGTGCGCCATAAAGTCATTCGTAGACTTCTGCTTCCACTATATCAGCTTCCTTGATCCCTAGGCATCTTAACCACATTTGATCAAAAGCTCATCGATATAATGTATCATTGACAAATATATGTCATAATGCTCTCATTTGGATTTGAATGGCTAGAGATTTGTATCTTAGGAGTTTATTTTTTTTGGAGTAATCGATGAATGGTTGCCTCAATCTTCTTCTCATTTGATATCTAAGCAATGTAACTATGACTCTAAGTATTTGTTGGATTTACGCCTTTTGGCTACATGGCATTCTTCTGATAGATTTTTAATAATGAACTATTAGGGAGATTGAGGATTAACAAGAGTTGTATCCTAGTGGCTTGAATATAGTATTCCCTCTGCCTATGAGAATTATAATTGTACTGGCTCTAGGACCCAGGGAGTGTAGACTCCAATCAATATAGGCCACTCGTCATTGGTATTTTCCATTTCTCGGCTAACTTGGATGGACAATCAGCTTTGCCATTTTGAACTTGAGAGACCTGAGCTATTTTGTCATTCAGCACTTATTTCAGAAGCTCGAGAGTTTACTGGCAATAATGGGCCAACTCAAGTTTATAAATCTTGTAAATGCCCAGAACTTAATTTATCATAAGTTGAGAGTCACCGTTGATTTGAATATTCTAGATTCTATCTAAAATTGTAATATATAATTCTAGTTAGAGCATCATATTTGGTCTCATTATTGGTCAGAGAATTTATTAGACTAAATAAAAATCTCATTATGCCTCCCTTTGGCATTATGAAAAAAACACCATGGTATACTTTAATATTATTTAAGCCTTTTTACGTTCTTTGTCTCATTTAAGGAAAACATCTTTCTTCATTAGCTTTGAAAATGGCTGGTACCTACTAGATATATTTAATGTGAAACACCAATTAAAAGGCAATTGCCATTGCAGGGAGCAAAGTTGATGAAGGTTTTTTATGGCAACATCTCCATAATCGCCTTTATTTTATTATGGTCGATCTCAATTCCTCGATGATGAACAACATAACCAAAAATTTCTTGGATGAGACAACGAAAGCACATTTGGAGGGTTCTTCCTCAAATCTAGCTTTATGATCCTCTCAAATACGGTCCTTAGATCACTTAAATTATCTTTTCAGTTCATGCTCTTGACGACGAGGTCATCTACATAACACTCAACCTTTTGATATATTAATTAATAGAAAAATATGCATCATCACTCGTTGGTAGGTGGCACCAACATTTTCTAAGCCCAAGGGCATAACTATATAGAGAATATGCATATATGCATTCTAATTGACATATGCATTTCATTTTTTAGTGACATATTGATCTAACTATAGCCTAATGATCCATCCATA